CGTCATAAATCAATGACAAATTAACCGAATATCTAATCATTAATGATATGATTAATATTATAATGACTTTTATAAAGATGCAAATTTCATAATTTTGTGAAATGTTAATTGAACAGACTAATTATAATAATAGTACAGTAAAAGATTTAAATTAAAAATTTTAATTTTCAAGCCCTTATTTATTGAAGTTTTTTGATACTATTGATACTTAAACTTTAAGTTAAAATTCTGGGAAAAGAGTCTAAAGAGTGAATTTATAAGATTTTTTTTTTACAAACATGTGTTGAGACATCAATATATTTAGTAATTAAAAAATAAAAGACTTTTTGAAAATTAAATTTTAAAGCTGTTAACTGTTTTGTATAATTGGCAAGAAACTTAATTTGTGAAATCTTTTCAGTTTTAATTTATTTTGAATATTATTGGTGCTTTGATGTCTTGATTAAGAAAAAATTAATTTAATATTATTAAACGTTATAATCATTATCTCTTCGATGCAAGCAAACGCAGGGATTTTGAAAAGAAATATTATACTGGTATCAAACAACGCCAAAAATAAATAAGAAAAACATCGACGACTATAGCCAACTGGAGTATGCTACCTATAATTGGAAGGCAACGCAATTTAGAGAGAGAGAGAGAGAGAGAGAGAGAGAGAGAGAGAGAAACAAAGCAGAGAACGCATACGCATAAAGCTAGCGCCAGACTATGCGCGTATTCGCGATTCGTTTATAATTCGTGAATAGTGTGGATGATTCGTCAAATTCAACCAATCAGATTTCTTTATACCGTTCACGAATTTCGAATTACGAATCATGAATTGCGAATACGCGCATAGTCTGGTGCTAGCTTTACACTTTCATTAATATAGGTCGACAGACTTTAATCTGAGCTACAGCGCTGTTTGTATAACAACTTCCCCAAAAACGACAACAATTTTTTGACGTTTATGTATGTGAATAAATCGGCGTGTTGATATAACGCATCACATTACAATTCTCTGTTATTTTATACAATTTTAGCAGTGTCCAATCCAGCACATGAACAATTACGAATCGCTCAATTTGTTATAACAAAGCATACGTCGACAACTTTGGGCGAGGTTGTCATTCGTATTTTTCAAATTAACATTATTTCAGATATTACCACGTGTGCTTTATTACATCGTTTACAGAAAAGGGAAGATACACGAAAATTTCGCAGTAACGTAGACGTTTATTTTTCTTTCGCCATGCTGAAGCAAGCAACAGTCACTCATCTATTTATAACGCCACCGCGCTAACCACCATCCGCCGAGTCTATTATCGCGTATAAATATGGAGCACATAAAAAGAATGCCGATATGATGCACGGAACGCTTGAAAAGATTGTAAGGAAAAAAATAGGGTTGGAAATCATTGATCCATCCTGTCGGCGTAAAATGCAAAATCACATGCATACACAAGCGGAAATTACGTAATCTTTATAACATTAAAATTTTCTTGATTAACTAGCGTTGCATTGGTCCCCCTCTCTCTCTCTCTCTCTCTCTCTCTCTCTCTCTATACATATGTATATGTATAATTGCATTTACTCTCACCATAATCTACATATTATTTTCCATCTCTTTGAACCTTTGCTATCGCTTGAGTTTAACGCGACAAAGAACGTAGACAATCGCTGCGCCCAACTTTATATTATTCACAACTTTAATACCTTTAAACTTTGAACAAAGAGAGAACTGGACGTTTGATGAAGAACGGAGCTTTGATTTAATTTTCACAATTGTCGCTGCGCAATCGCGATTAAGCATGATTGAGCTTTATACGCATCTCTTCTTAAGATACTTCAGAACTGACATAAATTTGAATGTTTTGAATATAGGAAGATTTAAAAACGGAACAACATCTTTTTACTATTACGAGGTCAGTGTATGCATAATCCAGTTAATTACGGATGCAGATTTATGCGACATATTATGCAACGCGCAAAGCGTTCGTCATTCGCCAAAGTGGAGGGAGAGAAGTCATCGAACTTGTCGCGTGTGTAGCTGATGTATCGCGAGCTTTCTTGAAATAGCGAGACGACCGCAAGATGAATGGCCGCAATGCGATCGCTTTTAAGAGATTGCAGAGTCCGTAAATCGTATCATTTAACGAGATCGTTTCGCGCGATTACAAAAAAAATATGTCCTTGGTTAATGATCTTCCGTCAACAAATTGACTACCTGTATATTAACGGAGTATTCTAACATTACCATAATGCTGCATAAATTGATCGATTTGCGAAAGAAAAACGAGTTCTCTCGAATAAAAATAATTTGTGACTATCCTTATATATAAATGCATAAGAAGATGATGCGGATGAAAAATGACAAAGCGATAAAAGTCTGTAATATTTTATAAAAATTTTCCACATAAAGGAAAGCCATCCGTATTTTCTGTTTTTATTTTTTTTTTATGTATTTATTTCTAAAAAACAAAAATTTATATCTCTCTCTCTCTCTCTCTCTCTCTCTCTCTCTCTCTCTCTCTCTCTCTCTCTCTCTCTCTCTCTCTCTCTCTCTCTCTCTCTCTCTCTCTCTCTCTCTAAAATAAATGATATATTTCTCTCTCTCTCTCTCTCTCTCTCTCTCTCTCTCTCTCTTTTATCTCTATTAAAATAAAATATGATAATATCGAAAAAAATATCATTTTCCCATCTCAAAAAATGTACTTGAGCTGCTTTATTGAACTCTCGAAAAATTTATAAGAACTTTGATTATAAATAATATCGTCATCATCATCATGATTTAATCGCAAATCGCGAGTAGCTACTTTATCATAACGCAGAGTGCATGCAAGTTCGCATTGCAGTCTTGCATGTAAGTAAATATGTGCAACATAAATGTAACTTTAAGTGGCTTATATTTCAACAGTATCTAAGATTTACAATCACGTGATGCGTGCGCCAGATTGCGTCACATACGTTAATATATGAATCATTGTAAGAAAAATCGAGTGCCATTGGACAGGCCATTATTTTTGCCAGAACGTGTCAGTTTTCGGTGATATACGAACGCGACAAATGGTCCGAATAATAGATGGATTTTCGAGAATATGTTCTTTATGTATTGAGAGGTCTCTACAAACATCCTGACAAATCTTTCAAATTTGTTTTGGTACATACAATTTTTAATTAAAAATTTAAATTTTTAATATTACATTATATTAATACATTATATTAATACAATTTTTAATTAAAAATTTATATATATTTAATCCCGCCTTGCTTTAAAAAAACATATAAATATGTTTAGATGCTTTGTGTTATTAAAATCATTAAATTGCGTCGACATTTATTCAATTGTATTGTAACATATTTTCTCTTTTTTATGATCATAAAACAAAGATTTGCGATGCACTCAAGTGTTCTAGTTTTTTTTTCATTATTATTCTAGTTGTATATATAAAAAGATACCATCTATACGATATAGTCAGACGTCACATTTCACGTAAATCGTAGCAAGCAATTACATGCATTACACTTCTATCGGCATTAAAATAGAATTCATAAAATTGGCATTTTAAAACCTAATTTCTGAAAGCTTGAATTATTTCGTTCTGTAAATAAGATTAGATTCACAAAATTTTTGTTTCTATCTTTTTTGTTTAGAAATATGAGTACCGCGTTCAACCAGCGGATTAAATATTCGTATTGCTTGACAGATAATAATGATCACAAAAAATAACGATTTTTTTCTATAGAGTATAAAGCTTTGCTCTATCAAGCATGGTGAAATGCTCGCATGCTCGTATAAAAGACTTAAAAAAAAAGCATAACTATTCTTCGTTCGATGGAAATATTTTTCACAGCACGTAATTCGTTGCATTCACTGGCGTCTTCATAGATGGATCTTGATATTAAAAAACTTTAAAATTGCAGAGTAAAGTGTAAAATTGAAGCGTAAAAATAAAGTAGAATATATTTAAATACCGTGCATATATAATTATAAAACGTTATAACATCATGATAATTAAAACAATAACAATCATTTCTAAATTTAGAAATAACAATATCGCTACAACTGCTACATAATTCACAATTATTTATCTATTTTCATTGTCACTGTTATTCAGGAGAATTTCAGCTTGATTAAATAATATTTATTATCGCTATCTTATATCATAAATTCGCTTTGATACATCTTATCTAAAATCTCTCGTCGAGAATGAAAACATAGATTCTCTCCTTCCCGATTTTACGCCGCTGTGAGCTGTAGCAGAACGCGCTTGCACAGGAAACCGCCCTATAAAGGCGACCCAATGTAAACCGCAAGCCTCATTTGTTGCTCACAAGCTCGCGGCTGCCGACAGCCGAACCGCCGGAGCTTTCTCTGTTGTATTTTCGTTGGCACGGTACTGGTACCGCAACGGTGCATCGCGGCCACGCAATCCGGAAAGGTCAGCCAGCGTCATTACGTACTCACGACTCGTATAAGACAGGCGCGCGAATTGCTTGGATATGCCGGGTCTTTTATCAGGCGCGATACTTTTATCGGTCACGCGAGCTTTTTCGGGACGCGAGATGTGCTATTTCACTTTGAAAGTAAACGACGCCGCGATGACTCTCGTGAGTGTATTGTGTGCGTGAGAAACAAATATTTTAATTAAAATCTTTTTAAACAAACATAATTAATTCTAAATAAAGAGTAATCGTTTACACATTAATTTTTCCCCGGATGAGATACATTTTTGAATGTTTAAAATATAAGTATGAATTAAATAAAATTTCAAATATATTATATTTGTAGGACGGAAAGGATGTATTTTATTTGATACGTGATTTTATAAAGTATTTGAAATAAATTATTTATAATAATCTTAAAAACAAAAATTCTACATCGTTCTTCCATCACTATATTTGTGTCATTGTCTATGCTACAAATGCATCACGATATAAAAAATATATATTAAGACAAATATTTATATTAAAATATAAAATTATTCAAAAATTAACTATTCGTTTTTGCATTATTATAGCTCTAATCTAGAATGAGCACGGATCAGCATCGGGAAATAACATCAGATACAAATGAAATGCACGGCTGAATAATGTACCGTGAAACGGTGATCTCGCGCTATCATTGTTATGACATAGCCCGAGGGAAAGGATGTAGTACGGCAAAGGAGGATAGAAGATACGGAACGCTCGAAAAGGTGCATGTACAGGTAATAAAAGGTCTTTATACACGCGTTGTGTTACAAAGACTCTCCATCAAAATTGATCCATCTCCTTTAGAAATACATCCTTTGCAAAATTTTACATTGATTATGAGCAAAATACGAGCAAAGCGTAATAGAATATTAAAAAAAAAAAGAGAATTGATAGCTTTTGTCACACAATTAAATATTTCACAGAACTTTAATTGAATTTTAATTGAAAATTTAGTTTACAATATTCTTTGTGTAGATAGAGTTCCTAAAAAAAATTCTCTGAGTATAGATCTTGGATTAGAATTTAGCTAAACGTGTGTATAGATTACTGGCATTTCGTTTTGGCATCGTAAAAACACACGGCTACAATAAGAAACAGAAGTGGAGACGGACACGTGTGCGGAAGGATACGCGGTCCATATCCGGCCCGCCATCCTGGCGGCATGGTCCTTTGGGCCACAATACTATTCCTCCAAGGAGCTGGATTCGTAGGTAAACGAAGAGTCACGTGATTACACATAATTAATAGAAAATAGTAAAAAGAGACTTTTTATAAGAGAAGCAAAATATATTACACGATAATCGATATAATAATTATAATCGTGTAGATTGTGAAATTTAGTTCTTCGTTTAGTTTTAAAAGAGCTTTAATGCAAAATCTTTGTTTCAAGTTTAATTGCTAAATATTTAAAGTTGAATGTTAAAATTTTACTGGGAAAGATATGATTGAATGAAATTTTCGTTAAGAAAGAGTTCTGTCTGTGATCAAAGAGAGAGCGATATCGTTTTGAGAAAATCGACGTTTCTAAAGAAGCGGATATATTATCGGATAATGACAGATATATTTCGTGTTTACAGGCTCGGTGACAGGCATTCCCGGTGTCCCGGAAAACATAACGGTAATGTTCCTGAATCCGACGTCTGTACGTGTCTCTTGGAGTACCAGCCAGATTGAGCAGATCGAAAAATACGACGTCACGTACAAGCCAACCGACGCCAGGTGCGTTCCAGCGATTTCGATATTGCGAATCGACTCAGATTTTCATTTCGCGATGCACAAACGACATTAAAAAAAAAAAAATACTAGTTTCGCGTTCTGTCTATTCTGGTATGGGTATATCTTTCTAAAGAAATGAAAATTTTTCAATGAAAAATACGCTCAATCTGTGTTAATTACTTGTCTTCGTAATGTTTTTATTTTAGGAAGTTATTGTTCTTTATAGGTCACATACAAACACGGATATCATTCACGAAAGGTATGATTTGTTAGATGATATTGATGTTTGACGCAAGAAAGTTTTATTATTCATAATTTGAAGAGATAATTCCGTGGGATTAAATTATTGGATGTTTATTCTATTTTACGTGCTCGCGTGTGCGACATAATTGAGAAATTGGAAAGTGATATAAATTTTTCTGTTCTGATCCCCTTCGATTTACATTTCTACTTTTCATTTTTCTCACACATTCCATGACAGAAAATTGAAACACACTGACATACTTACATCTTCGCGGATTGCGACAAAATGCCGCAATGCAGACATTTAGGCTTGAATCTGATATATATCTGTAAAAAGTTTAACAGCTGCAACATATATAATGTGTTGCGGTCTGTGCTAAATATACGCTTATTATTGGAAAAGAATTGAAAGGATAGCGAGAAAGTTGAGTTGTGCGTGATGGGCGTGTGCATGTGATCTCGTGTACGTCGCATTTAATGCGAAAGTACGCGTATTACACGCCACCGGTATTTCCTTTAATTGCTGGGGACGTTTAAATATAGCTGCATATACTCCCTACCATTCAAAAGCTAAAATATTGAAGTGACATTTAATATATAAATTATCGAGTTAAAATTTTATACATGGGTAGAGACGTGTGGAGTGTTCGTAACACTGTATAATTATTATTATTATTATAGTAAATATCAGCAAGTAAAAAAAATTTTTTTTTCTTTTATTCATCGTTCATATTTAGATTTTTCTTTATTTTCTTTATCTCTTTCCAAATTTTCTTAATTTAAAAAGAGATTTTTAGTTAATAACTATTAACTAAAGATATTATTTATTTTAAATCCAGCTGGTATAAGTAAATTTGACTTAGCAATTCGTTATCCAATTGTAGAGAAAAAACTTGAAGCTGCACAGAATTAATATTAAAAAAATACGTTAGAAAATGAATAAATATATGTTAAAGTTACGTAAGTGTTTTTCTTATAAATGACATTTTTAATATATTGGACAAAATTCATACCATTAAATAGATAAAAAATTACATTCAGTAAAAAAAAAAGATAAAAATAAATTATTCAAGCATGACAAAATAATAAAAATAAAGCGAAATTTGTATACTTCCATTTGATGTAACATCATACGTGATATACATATGTATATAATATGAGCGGAACGGAAAAGATAATTAAAATCAAATAAATTCTAACCCACATATGTGGCTCGCATATTTGTTTTTCGCATCGACAGATGCATCGCAATATCCAAATAAATCACGCCGTGATGATAGATTTGGACAAGTTACGGATTTATAGAAAAAAATGAGCGAGATAGTGGATTTATCAATCCGCAGTGCCGAATATAATATCCACATTAATTCAAAGAGGCCTCAATATTAATTGAGATTTTTACCTCCTTTTGCGGCACAGGAATTCTGACCACAGGTATATCACATTTTTTCTTCAAGCGACATGTTCCTTTTGCTTATAACCCGAGTATTCGCCAAAATCGCCATATTTTAACGACGTGTATAAAGTATAATAAATACTATGCTACTAAAGGTAAAATTTTTTACCTTTATTCATATCGGTAAAATCGCTCATTTTATCATAAAATGTGCATTTATTTAATAATAAAATTCACTGTACTCGTTAACTGAGTTTCTCAAATTTCACAAAATAGCATGCCATTAAAACAGATATTGCTTAAACCGATCGTATTTGAACTGGAAACGAATAAAACAAATTATATATTATCACAAAATTTTCATCATGTGTAATAAATCACAAAGGAAAAATTCTTCTAAAATAATATAAGTATTATATAACATTTTGCTTTAGGTGCTTGAATTTCGAGATGTTAACGATCAAATTAAAATAGCACACGTAATGCAATAAATAATGGCAAATAATATTGTTAAACACGCATTTTGTATAAAGGATTATAAATGAGAGTAGATTATATTAATTGTCATCGCTGCATTAAAATAAAATTATAATAATTTTCACGAATTGATCATTATATATCAAAACTATGTATATGTTTTACTGTTTACCAATACAATAATAATAGTGTAATAAAATCCCATCTCCTACATCTACATATATGCAGATCGTTTTTCTAATAGTATATCTGAGCCCTTAGATTTTCCAAATCTTTTTGAATTTAAATTTAATATTTTAGAATAACAAAGAACTAAGTATAATATTAAAAATAATTTTAGATGTATTTCTATAAAAAAGTTAAATTGTAACAAGCTTAAAATGTTACATATAATACAAAATAATATTGAAGTTATGACATTAGAGTAAAATAATTTGCAGATTTGTAATATAGATATTAGCAATGTAAAAAAAAAAAACTTATTATTTATGTATGTTTTACGTAAATATGAAAGTAACGATGAGTGATATAACTCACGAAATTTAGAAATGGCAATATATCAAGAAGATAATAAAGCTAAATTAAATAAAACGTATATAGAATTCAACTCGTGCAAACCATAACTAAAAAAATGTTTAAATTCAGTCAAGTACAAAATATCGGAACGTGATATATTGAGTAGGTTCCGCAAAAAATATTTAGAGTTAACCTTTTAAATATAAAAAAACCCGAATTTTCTAGTAAAATAAATTGTAAAAATGTCAGCAGAAAATATCGTTATTACTTTTCAATATTTAACAATCGGAACAGAAATATGAATATTATTTAAAATTTTCTACTAAAGTAAAATTTAAGTAATTTTTATTTATTGGTAAAAAACAAAATTTTGTCTTTTCCAACATTTTCGTAATTATATATATTTTCACTCCTGTGAAGAGAATTTGATTTGCAAATATTTTTAGAGTGATTAGCATAACCAAACATCGACATAATCCAAAAAGTATCAATGGTTCTTTATTAAAGAAAATCGATTCCAAAAGAAATGTATTTAATGAGAAATATCCTGTGCATTAGTTTATGATAAAACGCAAACATGAGCAGGTCGAATGACCCATTCCGTTTATATATGATACTAGAGAATCAAGAGTGCAGTCTCTTGCGAAAATGCATAGCATCGATCTTTTCCGCGATAGGACGGTCTAGGATAGGCTATGGTCTCGTTATATAAAGCTCATTGCATGCACTTAGGCTGGTCAGATTACGGCTTTATGTAACGACAAAAACATACGAGAGGGGATATTAAATGGGTTAATTGGAGCTAGCTAGAGAATACCTGTTGTAAGTAGCTCGAGGCTTTGTTTTCATTCAATATTCAATCGAGCTATTTCCACTTTATATTTCGTTTATTTTAGAAGAGTCTTATATTATTCTCAGCATCAACAATGGAATGCATATAATGCAATGCATCAAATGTATTTTGTGTATATAGAGAGGATATTATATAACAATGTATATAGAGAGGATATTATATAACAATGTATATAGAGAGGATATTATATAACAATGTATATAGAGAGGATATTATATAACAATGTATATAGAGAGGATATTATATAACAATGTATATAGAGAGGATATTATATAACAATGTATATAGAGAGGATATTATATAACAATGTATATAGAGAGGATATTATATAACAATGTAATTTAAATGTAGTTTATAATCTTTAAAGAATAGGGATAATTTATAAGAATAGACTTTACGGATTTATAGAAAAAAAATGAGCGAGATAGTGGATTTATCAATCCGCAGTGCCGAATATAATATCCACATTAATTCAAAGAGGCCTCAATATTAATTGAGATTTTTACCTCCTTTTGCGGCACAGGAATTCTGACCACAGGTATATCACATTTTTTCTTCAAGCGACATGTTCCTTTTGCTTATAACCCGAGTATTCGCCAAAATCGCCATATTTTAACGACGTGTATAAAGTATAATAAATACTATGCTACTAAAGGTAAAATTTTTTACCTTTATTCATATCGGTAAAATCGCTCATTTTATCATAAAATGTGCATTTATTTAATAATAAAATTCACTGTACTCGTTAACTGAGTTTCTCAAATTTCACAAAATAGCATGCCATTAAAACAGATATTGCTTAAACCGATCGTATTTGAACTGGAAACGAATAAAACAAATTATATATTATCACAAAATTTTCATCATGTGTAATAAATCACAAAGGAAAAATTCTTCTAAAATAATATAAGTATTATATAACATTTTGCTTTAGGTGCTTGAATTTCGAGATGTTAACGATCAAATTAAAATAGCACGCGTAATGCAATAAATAATGGCAAATAATATTGTTAAACACGCATTTTGTATAAAGGATTATAAATGAGAGTAGATTATATTAATTGTCATCGCTGCATTAAAATAAAATTATAATAATTTTCACGAATTGATCATTATATATCAAAACTATGTATATGTTTTACTGTTTACCAATACAATAATAATAGTGTAATAAAATCCCATCTCCTACATCTACATATATGCAGATCGTTTTTCTAATAGTATATCTGAGCCCTTAGATTTTCCAAATCTTTTTGAATTTAAATTTAATATTTTAGAATAACAAAGAACTAAGTATAATATTAAAAATAATTTTAGATGTATTTCTATAAAAAAGTTAAATTGTAACAAGCTTAAAATGTTACATATAATACAAAATAATATTGAAGTTATGACATTAGAATAAAATAATTTGCAGATTTGTAATATAGATATTAGCAATGTAAAAAAAAAAAACTTATTATTTATGTATGTTTTACGTAAATATGAAAGTAACGATGAGTGATATAACTCACGAAATTTAGAAATGGCAATATATCAAGAAGATAATAAAGCTAAATTAAATAAAACGTATATAGAATTCAACTCGTGCAAACCATAACTAAAAAAATGTTTAAATTCAGTCAAGTATAAAATATCGGAACGTGATATATTGAGTAGGTTCCGCAAAAAATATTTAGAGTTAACCTTTTAAATATAAAAAAACCCGAATTTTCTAGTAAAATAAATTGTAAAAATGTCAGCAGAAAATATCGTTATTACTTTTCAATATTTAACAATCGGAACAGAAATATGAATATTATTTAAAATTTTCTACTAAAGTAAAATTTAAGTAATTTTTATTTATTGGTAAAAAACAAAATTTTGTCTTTTCCAACATTTTCGTAATTATATATATTTTCACTCCTGTGAAGAGAATTTGATTTGCAAATATTTTTAGAGTGATTAGCATAACCAAACATCGACATAATCCAAAAAGTATCAATGGTTCTTTATTAAAGAAAATCGATTCCAAAAGAAATGTATTTAATGAGAAATATCCTGTGCATTAGTTTATGATAAAACGCAAACATGAGCAGGTCGAATGACCCATTCCGTTTATATATGATACTAGAGAATCAAGAGTGCAGTCTCTTGCGAAAATGCATAGCATCGATCTTTTCCGCGATAGGACGGTCTAGGATAGGCTATGGTCTCGTTATATAAAGCTCATTGCATGCACTTAGGCTGGTCAGATTACGGCTTTATGTAACGACAAAAACATACGAGAGGGGATATTAAATGGGTTAATTGGAGCTAGCTAGAGAATACCTGTTGTAAGTAGCTCGAGGCTTTGTTTTCATTCAATATTCAATCGAGCTATTTCCACTTTATATTTCGTTTATTTTAGAAGAGTCTTATATTATTCTCAGCATCAACAATGGAATGCATATAATGCAATGCATCAAATGTATTTTGTGTATATAGAGAGGATATTATATAACAATGTATATAGAGAGGATATTATATAACAATGTAATTTAAATGTAGTTTATAATCTTTAAAGAATAGGGATAATTTATAAGAATAGACTATTTCACTTATGATTTAATATTGTCATCATTTGATTAAAATGTATATTAAACTGGACATCTCGCGGTATAAACTTAAGATATAGAATATCTTAAGAACTTAATATTCTTTAAAACACAAGTATAGATATATCTTGAAAATTTAAATACAGCACATCGCTACGCGTTGAAATTTTTGTCAATTTTATTCGATTATATAGTTAAAATTATTTACGGTATTATTTCTATACTGATTGCAGTAAACAAACTATTTTATTTGCATCTAAAATATATAATAAAAGTACGTTATAATATTTATGATTGCGATCTTGATAATAATATGTACATCTATTTTATGCAATGAAACGAAACTTTATCGAATATCGGTATTCCATCAGATTATTTTCATAAACTCGATCTTTCAGGATTATTAACAGTATATCTAAATATCAAACCAATTATCGTCGTTCGCAACATAACGATGATCATTTGAATGGAATTTATCAAACCATGGCAACGCTAAATCGAAGTTGCGCTTTAATAATCGTTATTTTAATGCTTATCATGATGCAACTATTATATTGCTTTAATAATCGTTATTTTAATGCTTATCATGATGGAACTATTATATTGCGATTCTATTGCCCTATGCTATCAAGGCTTCTAAAAAATGTCGATCGACTTACGACAACCGTGACATATCGAAATTCAATGTGCATCTTCTGATTAAATTACAATATTCGCTCCACAAAATTCCGGTCATCAGATGTTTTCAATTTTTTTTGTTTATGATATACCAATTAACATATCGTACAGCTAACATTTAATAGACTGTTAATTATATATCGTATATACATCGATTAATAAACTGTCAATTGATAAATATTAAACTTATATATATTAATTAAAATAAATAATTATAAATTACTGTGTAATTAATATGCTTTTCTACAAATTATTACAATAATTAATGAATCTTTTATTTATTTAAATAATTCATAAATCTAGATTTCCTTTTTTAATATGTTGATAAAAAATATATATTATAATATAATCCATTTCACTATCATAAAACATTAAAATTATTGTTATAATAATCAATTGTATATAATAATCACACATGATGAAAATAAATTTAAATAAATGTGAGAAATTTTTAAAAAACGACTATAAGTATAAATAAGATTAATGTAAACCAAAACATTAGTGCGTATAGATAATCTTTCTACTGAAATGTATATATATATATATATATATATGGTTAACTTTGTAAATATAACTATTTTGCGATAATTTTGTCTCGTCGTTTCTGTGTTTATAGTTTTTATGTTGTCACGTTTTCTAGTTGGTTGCTTTCTGGTTCTTGTTTGTATTGTTACAATCTTCAGCGAGACGGTGAAGAGTATACACTTCGAGAGTGCACACAAACTTTTTTATCTTTCGTTTCCGAGCATATTCATATAAAAGTGAAATTATATGACTGATGATCATGATCATAATCAACAGCCAAAAGTTAATTGTTTTAATAAAAGGATTATCTATACGCACATGTCAGTAGCATTTGCATTGGCATTTGCATTGGCTTTAATGGAAATCAATTATTATTTGAATGAAGTATAATTTAATTATTATTCCCAGTTTTATAAAAACAATATTTATTAATTTTTTTTTGATCTTATGCAATTTTATATTTTCTAAAATATTTGATTTTAAGAAGAAGTTACTTCATGCATAATTTTTAATAATATAATTTAATTTTTTATTACGAGAACGCCGAAATTTTTAACATTTTAATAGTAATTATTTCTAAAAATATAGAAGTAGGGTAAGAAAATCTTCGAGATAACCGGTTTACACATGGAATATTTCCGTGGAGCGATTTCAATCGAGATCTTATGGGTACGCGATCGTAAGCGTAAAATATCGAATCATAACGGCAAGGTGGTTAGTTACAGGGTCGTGGCGGTGGTCGCAGGAAATAGCGAAGCGGTCACCTTGAGCAATCTTCGAGCTGATACGCAATATCAGCTGGTCGTAACCGCTGTGAGAGCCGGAAAGAAGTTTCGAAGTCGACCAATCGTCTTCCGCACACTCGGTAAGCTTTGCCTTCCTAAGCTTTACCTGTCTCCGGCATCACGGTCACATGTGACAGGTGCGTTTCTGACAAAGAGAAATATTTCTCTAATCTATGTAGTAATCGTAAACGTCCGTCATGATGCTTCCGTAGTTATTTATTATTACTGCGTAGTTATTTATTATTTATTTATTCTTTTAACAAAAAATACGCAGCGAGCTATATTTCGGAATATTTTACGTTCTATGATACATTTCCGTAAATGTGTCTGCTTTTTATCTGTTTCATTTCTTTCATCAATAGAGTTTATATTTATAATAGTCTATGTGTACGGAAAAATATATTTAAATAAAGATATGTATTGTATAGAGTAAAATATTTAAAAAATTTTGATTATTTAATTTGAAAATATAACGATGTGTAAAACAAACTATCTATTAAAAAATTTTTTTTTTGTTTTCTTCATAGTTCAATATATTAAAAATATTCAATTCCAGTTTATCTCGTGGTTAGCTTCGCAAGATTGAAAGGTTTTAATTCAGTTCGGTACAACTTGCAATCCTATGATACATATATATAACTAAATAGTATAAGAGATCTCTTTATAGTATAGTAAAAATATTTGGCAACGGGATTTGATTCATCTTATCTTACAGTTCTATTTTTGAAACACCGAGACCGCAATATCGTACAGATTAAATTCCAATTGAAGAGAGAATTCATTTTCTGGAAATCCCAAACTAATTTTTTTCTGCTTGCTTAAACTAGTTAATCATATATAGTACACAGAAATTGGTTTAGATAAGTTTATCGGTTATTTTCCGACGTAACAATATCCAACGTAAATCATATAAAATCCGGCGATGATATATACGACGCGATCCGACGTGAAGCGATTATCGTGTAAACGAGCTCGTGTCGTTTTCAGAGCCACCACGCACGTCTCCACAGCAAGATGCAGCGGTAACTGGTGGTCCTCTTCCTCCACCTCCACCGTCCTCACAACAACCGTATATACAAGTAAGCTATTTTTTTCCTAAACGATACGCAATTTCGCGTTCAAAGTTTGTTATCTCGTATTGAAAATAATTGTATTATTCCAACATTGAATAAATAAGTAATCCGCTGATTCATTTATAACAGCGACTGAATAGTTCGAAAAATTTTGCTCCTCTAAATTCACGTATAAACATCGCGACTGGTGATTGAGAATTTTCTTAAATATTACATGAAACCGAAGGCAATATAATATGTACTTCAAGGAGAAATCACTTTATAAAATACAATACCGAGAAGAATCGAAATAGAGGAACGAAAGAAAAATGCTGTTGAATAAAGCGATGCTTCTTTTATCTCTATTTTAGTATTTCGTAACTTTTTTCGAATACGATTTCCAAGAATATTAAAATAAATTCAAAAATTTTCTTTCGCATATTCTCCGCACAAACATATAATATAGAATAATTATATAATTTTTTGCGAAGTAGATTTTACAACAATTTTCAGAATTTCTATATGCATATTCTTCGGTGAAATCAATAATGCAAAGCATTATTCATGAAGGAGGGTAGATAGACAATTTATCACCTAGTGGGATATAAAATCATTTTACGAGAGGTATGAAAGAAAGAAGAAAATACGCAAAGAGAGTGGAATATGGCCGCGAAACTTTTTTAAATCTAATTGAGGCGCGAGAATCGCAATTCCTTTGCGCGAAGAAGTATGTGTTTCGAAATTATATTGCTTTTCTAACTTTTTATATCGTGAGAGAGAGAAAGAGAGACATCCATTTTAAAAGCTCGTTGAGAGGTAACGAATAACATATATCTCACTCGACGAATCCCTTAATAAATGCAAATATGCTGAATGCCGAAAGCATATTACAAGATATACATATAAAAAAATACATATATAAACATATACATATATAAAAATACACTAGATACACATATCAAAATTGTTATTGCATGAATATTTTCATGCCGCGAATTAATCAAAACAACGCGACTTGTGTTCCGTTCACAGATTCGCGGCGTCGAGGTGGGCATAGTAGTGTTAGTGCTGATAGTTTGGGCGGGTGCGATAGCGCTGTTCTTCAATCGCTGGGGCAAGATCCGGATGCTGTTGCCTTATCAGCCCGACTACAAGGAGCAGTTGAAGGTTCCCGGCACGGGCGTGTGCACGGCCGCGAACCCCGCGTATACGCAACACCCAACGCAACACGCGTGCTCTCAGGTAACGCATAGGTATACTGCATCCGATATGATGCAACGAGCCTTCCTGCGCTCGCATTGTGTAATATAAGCCGCGCCCAGGTAGCGTTGGAAAAATCTGGCTGATCAATCTATGAGACTATTATCCTCGAGAGGCAAAAAAAAAAAAAAATTAGAAATTTTCTTTTGCTGCTAAAAATTATTTTAAAAAATGGATATCTCTCCCCCACATGAAAGACATTTTTTATTTCGAATAATTTAGTAAATACATCTATTTAATAATTGCATCTTCAGAAGAACGTATCTTCGCAATCTAAAACTGTTTAGCAACTGAAGATTTCTAAATATGCTCTATTGAAACCATATACAATATATATATATATATATATGTATAAAGTTTCATTGAAATTAAAATTTACCGCTTTTCTTGCAAAACCAAATAATTTTCTTTTATCTTAAAATATTGAATATTATTATACATATTTTTGTGGCACAATCAATGAAGATAGATAATCAATTTATTATGGATTTTTTAATATCGTCATATAATCAACTAAAAAAGGGATTAATATTAATATCGTTTTAATACGGAAATTTCTCGATATTTGAAATCGTATGACTAAGTGTATGTTCTTATTGTTAGTACAATAATATTAAAATTTATCAGGGCAAAGACGGTCGGAGAGATATTTCACAATCAAATGCGATCTTCCAATTTAAATATTACAGGTTTCAAAAATATACTTCGTTTAGTTTTCGATTTACGAGAATCGACATCGGATATTTGATATTCATTCTTTCGAGATTTTGAAATCCGCGTATAATATCGGCACTTTATTATACGTATAGGGCTAGTGCGATGTGCATGTGCGATCTCCATTATGCATACGACGGGTTTTTGAATATTGCGCGATGTAAACGAACATATGGTCGTCGGGAACACAAAATTCGAATAATGTCGACATATGGCCGGAAATACGCGGATGTAAAGGCGCAAACGTAATGGTTCTACCGTATACTATTAGCATGCCATGAATTCTGGTTCATTCGCGAGAGTATAATCCTATTCGTGCAACGGCATTTAACCATATACGCATTGCAGCTTGATATGGGAATTGCCGAGAACGCGTTTTCTAAATTCTATCATAAATTCCTAGCCAAATTTTATCGATTAAGGCAGCGGACAGATGTTTAAAGACAATTAGTTTCATTAGTGAAAATTGCAAATAATTTAAATATTTAGTCATTAATAATCGCTTTAACAATAAGCGGTTAAAAATTAAAACATTTTAACGGATTAATCTGCAAATGCAAATAGATTATAAAATTTTGTTTCTTAATTAGTCTTAATTGATTTTGAGTAATCCAACAAATAACATTAACTAGCATTTATCAGAGAAACTCAATCCGGGGAAACTTGTCGTCAAAATATACGATTGCATAAATATCGATTAATTATTTCAATGCTAATTTGTATTCGTGCATTATTCTACCTATCGCGTTATTATCGCATGTATAAGTAATAAAATTTTACAAATGCTTATATTATAAAGAGAATTTAAAATGCCTGTTTTTATGATATATTGTCTAATAGTAAAAAATAGAATTTCTCTCTGGATGTTTTAATAGTTAAAACATTAAATAACTTTATTTTATATTTACATGAATACTGTGAGTTTGCAATTAATATGGCTGCAGACCGCGTTTGATTAGTACACCTTAGTAGAATAAGTCAATAGCAAGCTGCTAATGGGTAAAGTTTATTGACTATGAAACTAACCATTTCATGTCTGGGAACTATCTTTACGTAAAGCTGTTTTGCCCGGTTTGTGCGATTACCCGATTCATGGCGAATTGTTTGTCTCGCGCAACAAAAGAGCTTTTGCTCGGGTCGAGTTTGACGTCATGCAGAATTACGGACGAGATTCAAGATAATTAATTAAAACGTCATCAACAATATTGCTACTAATGATCTGTCTGCATAATTTGTATATATCTCGGGAATAAAAAATAAGAGCTTATAACAATTTCCATTTCGGTCGTACAAAAAAAAGGAACTAGAGAAACTCTAGACATATCGATTTGACCTCCCGTGGATCATTGCGATTTAATTGGCGACAGTGAATAATCGTCGTGAAAAAAGAAAACGACCGCAACGATTTTATAGTCAGCATACATTTCATCAATTGTTGTTTTTCATCAAAGTCGAAAGTTTGAATCGGTTATTTAAAAACGAGTGCAATCTCCTTTTACAAATTCAATATTATCGAAATACATATTTGTAGTATTTTTTATTATTGCTTTTTTCTATGGAAACAGTTTCCAATAACATGATTACAATGTATCGAAGCGTTTCAGAGATTCAATCTCTTTTAGCTTTGTATATCCAAAATACACATATTCAAATTTTTTCTATTATACTCTCTTTAAACTTTCTCCTAATAGTTTTTGTAGAACGCGCATGTACATATTGAAAATTTGAACATTAGTAAATATGAGTCTGTTTATATTAATAAGGCTAAATATAATATAAAGAATAAATATATATATATAGTTCTTGTTAATCTTGGTATTAATTAATTGTTGCTGATCACGATGTAGAATGGTTGAAAGTTTGTAAGCTTCTGCAACATCTGTCAAGCTTCGATGCAGTAACAGATAAATTATCAGATGTTTATCGTGATTATATAACATTGCAATTACCCGTTAATAAGTGAGCTACGTTGCTTATCATATTGGTTAAAAATCAAAATAACAATGCAGTATCTCGCGTCTTTATATACGAATTGAAAGTTAATTTAGAATAATAGTAATTTGATATGTCGTGAGTTAACAGTTGAAAATAAATTGTTATGAGATCTTATTTTATAATTGTTGCTAATTTTTAATTTTGTTAGGAAAATTATAGTTGTCTAATCTTTAGAAAATTATATAATCATTCAAAATATTATTAAAGAATCAGATTGGATTCATGATAAATGCGATTCGATGTTTGCAATTCGTGTCAGATAATGTTCGATTATTATTTCTCTAATCGCAATGCATATTGTAAACGCAATATTATAGAGAAAATATTATAGACGCAATATTATAAAAAAAGATATTCACGTTAATAAGTTTTTAATATCTTTGTAGTGATATAATCGTGATCGCTATCGCTATAATAGATTAAATAGAGTTTTATGTTGAAACAAGAGCGGAAAAAGATGGAATCTTTGATATTATTTCATTTTTTCATAATATATTTTCTCAAATATTTTCATTTATCGGACAATTTTTATTTTTTATTTTAAAAAGAAGTAAAAGTTGTGCCGACGAGAGAGATTTCTACAAAGAATCTTCGTAAATTAAACTAGTAACACATCCATTATTCTTTATATGTATGCGGTAATATTGTACGATATATATTAGGCTACATGAATTGTAGGCTACAAGAATTATATTCCATCGAGAAATGAATTATGAAAGAAATAAATAACGCTCTCTCTTATCTATCTCGTAAAAAGTAAAAATATTTCTGAAAGATATCTTTTATTCCATTCTCTTTCAAGTAATAATTAATTAAACTATTGAAAATTAAATTGTTTATTTTATTGTAACAGTTTAGTGGATCATTTCAAAGCAAGAAAGTTTTAAAAATGTTTCAAAAATTATTCTATTTAATCTAATATTAAAGTTCAAAATTACTGCCGCATATTTTAGAATAAATTATCCAGAGAAAAATTTAGATCATCAATTTAATGCTACACATTTGAATAATTTATGTATAGTTAATTTATTAAATAAATAATTAAATAATTTATATCATAATGATATTCTTTTATATAAAACATAATGATATTTTTTAAAGAAATATCTATTTCACGGTGTGATCATATTTTTATTTTTGAATTATTAAATATGATCATTTTTCATGCATATTACATAATAAATTGAAAGAAAAACAATATCAAGTGATTAAATTGACGATCAATAAATTTTTCTTCTCATTATTATAAGTATTAAACTCAACCTCATTAGTGTAGGATCTTATAATGTAGTAGTAGAGAACCCAGTAGAAATTAAACAAAATAATAATGCATATGTATCTTTAGCGTAGAGACATCCACATTCCTCAAACAGCCATTAGCTAGTCATTAGTCACGTAGCTATAGTTCGTAAGATTAATTAATAATTTCAATTAATACAATTTAATTCTATTGATCTCTTCTGTTCCTCTCTTCTATCTCCACGTCGTTTCTTCGGATTGACTGCACGAAATTCGCGAATATCGGCTGGCGCTACATGCGATTACCGGTACTACTCTCCCACATACTGTTCTGCGCTGCGTGTGTACCCTCCCTCCGACCACACTCTCGTGTTACATTCGACGGATCTTTTACACACGACTACGAAAAAAATAAAACGATAAACGACAAAACAAATAATGCAATACGCACAAAACGAACGAACGTAAATGACGGAAGGTAATGACCACATTGTCGGATATGGTGATGCAGTGCGGGGGCGGGGGCTGCTGCGTCCTGGAGCAGTGCTTTCAGTACCCCAGAAGAGCCCGAGAGCCCCGGGACTGCGGCTGCCAATTCGCTCTACTCCACAGGGCGGACATCGCGTGACCATCGGTACATGTCTTAAAATCTCATTTTTATCTTCTTGTGGCCCTACTTGTACATGCTGGAGAGAAACCTCGGCTGTATCGAGGCTCTCATCCTGTCTTTCTCTTCTACTGTTTCTCACCCTCTCTCACGTTTTTTTGTGTCTGTGTGACCTACGCCGTACCCCCTTCTCTCTCTGTCTCTGTATATTTTTCTGTCTCACCTTTGAGCCCACTCGTATATTTTATGATTTTCTTTTCGGAAACTGAAGGTCTATTTAGCGATTACTAACTCTTTCTCTGTCTACCCTAGGGACCCATTAGATCCATATATTTGTCTCTTAGAGTTCATTTGTGTGAGTAATTAGGAGAGTAGATTCCTGTTTCTGTTCTAATTCATGCTATCAATTAATATCGAATTCGTGAAC